GACTTCTCGTGTATGATTATGTCACCCAATTAGACTCAATGTATCATAAGCATCAATGAAACACTTCTCGTGTATGATTATGTCACCCAATTAGACTCAATGTATCATAAGCATCAATGAAACACTTCTCGTGTATGATTATGTCACATAGGAAGATAAATACAACATTTCATGATAGTCCAAAGAAAACACATTCAATTAGTTATTTGTGTGTAACAGATGCATTATAACACAAATAGTAGCACAACATATTACCACAACTCATTTCCTGTAGTAAACACTGTTTTTTCTTGATTTGCTTCTTTGACTTTTATTTTCCATTAATTATTCCTCAGATCCAATTTTGAAAACCATTTTGAACAAGATAAGACATCCAGAGTAGAGTCAATTGTTGACAAAGGGTAGACTTAGTGATTTCATTCACCCTTTGTTAGCCCACATAATTATATTACTCTTTTTTTTCTTGGCTTTTATTTCTCTGAGAGCCTCATTATGTTTTTCAAGTGCGAGTCATTTGGCCAACTGATGTATTGAGGCAGCATCTATGGTGTTAATCACATGAGATATCTTATTTGGTCAGTCTAAGGTGTGAGACTTGTTGGAGAAGGTATTCTGTGATTAAGTCATGCAATCTGTTGCATTGATTAATTATATAACCTTAACTTCTCAATCCTGTGGCTTAGGTGCATGTATGTGAAGATTTGATTTCCTACATCTTGTTTTAAAGGTGACTTCCTCTGGTGTTCTTTCTATTTAAGTACTGCATGTACAACCTCTCAATTTCTAATGTTCCTTTCAGAATTGACTTGTCTCTCATGGTTTGCTGTGTGTTCATGTCACTAATGGTGATATCCTTATATTTCAAATTCCCAAGAGTTTTTCAAATCAATAATCCCTCAGGACAAGCTGGAGAATTTGGTTTTATCATACCCTAGTCACTATATGTAAAGTTACTACTAATATATAAGTGTCTCACTTGTTGGTTGTACAACAATTTTCCTCATGGTTGTCATTAGAAGTTCAACCTTTGGTGCTGCAATTTATGGATTTCCTGTTCATGGACTGTGAAACTGTTTGAATTAAGCATAACATCAGACTTTGGTTCCTGCGTGAAGTCTGCTCCCAATGTTCCGCTTCTTCATTTACCCATACATCATGTTGTATAGAAAATATATCCACAGTGAGGATGTCTTCTAAGTTTTTCTTACTGGATAATTATGACCACTTGCTGTTTGCATCGATCCATCTTCTTGTTTCACCTCTAGAAGTACTTTCTCAGCTTTCATTACCAAGTCACATTGAAAAATGTTTAATGTATAACCATTGTTGCTTAACATGTTGCAAGTTTTCCAATCAGTGAATCTGTTGACTCATGGATTTGTTTTTATAGATGTAGAAAAAAAATGTGACCTTTTGGTCTTTTTACATGCTATTTTAGTTTCTTAGATATTTTTTTACGTTAATGTCTCTTTGTATTTTGTTGATACAGTGTATTTATATTTTATTTTGTCAGTGTTTTCCTTACATTTCTTATGGTTTCTTATGTCTTATTGTCATAATCCTTTTGCACATTTACTGTGACTTTTTAAACTTCAATGTACATTTTCAGTCTTGTCTTCCAACAAATTTATCTTTATTCATTATTCTTCTGTAAATCTTGTCTTGTTCTTTTAATTTTTTTTCTTAGATTTCTATTGTATTTTCTAGTTTTCTTTCTGTTTTTTGTTGATGTTCTTTTAATTATCTGTTTCTTTCTGCTACTAAGACCCTTAGTTTAATATCTCTTTTGTCTTGATATTTGTTTCCAATATATTACCATTTAAATGGAATTTTTGATCTTTCTTCAAGCATGTGTTGTTATCTTGTAGTTGATTCTGAATATTTTGTTTCACCAAAATGATCCCATTCATGATATCATTGCTGTTATGGTTTCTATTGTTGAGTAGAATCTTTTTTATTATTTGGTAATAAAACTAATGCAAAGTCCAAACCATTTAATTATCACAAATTTTTTTTTTTTCTTTAACTGAAAATTGTACAATGAATATAACCAACATTTGTAGAGAGCCTAATAATAATAACTCCTGATCAGAGTAATTCTATGTACTTAGAGCAAAACTGAAAATCAACCTGGTTATCAGTATGGCTAATTAGATATACTGTTACGTATCTGCTCGTTTGTTAATTTCTGGTATAAATTCTTTCTGAGGAACTTCAGTGATACAAGTCCTTTCTTAATTAAAACTAGTTTATTCTTTCTCGATGCAACTTTTTAGTACACAGAATTTCCACAGTTACTTTAAACTTAACAATCTTTATAATACACGCTATATATAAATCACAGTGATTCACACACTTTACTTACGGTGCCTACTGTTCGCTTGACTCAATTATCTATCTCTTCAATCTATCTGCATATCTATCTATCTATATCTCTTCAATCATGCTGGTGTTTCTCACCAGACTTATATACTAAAAAAGAGGGTGCCTCAAACAAACTAGAGTTGCCAGAAAAATTCATGATCCTTCGAGAAACTCCAGTGCACATGCTCCCAGCATCGCGTGACTTCTGCTGTCATAACAATACTTTTCTTACATTTGTAAGCATAAAGATTAGAATGTATTGGTTCATCAGTTGGCTATTCTCACTGTTAATGATATGTTTTGCTGTAATCCCATTAATACCTCACAATGTTCAGCCAGGAGATTTAGATAACTCAAAATAAATTGTAATTACTTGAACTAACGGCATAAAAGTAAATTTCTTTAGAAATTTGAACTTTGTTCTTCACTTCTCCTTAGCATATTTTGCCAAGGAAGTTTCACACCAAACAAATAGTTTCTCTTACTTACTAGTTTTGTTTCTGTTTCTTTTTCAAAAATACAAACTTAAAATTTACAAAAATGGGTTAAATAATTGTTGCACAGTAACTCACTGACCTACTTATTCGTTGAATAATAGACTCACTCTTTTAATAACTCAATATTCTACTGACTAACTTAGTAATGTTTGTTTGAACATGGTAGTTATTTAGACTTGAAAACCAGGAGTGCTTCCCACTCATAGTGTGGAAGGTATAATTGGAAGACTTTGTAACAAAAAAAGAGGGGAGGGAGAATAATAGGTTCCAATGATGGAGACAAGGTGGGGATCAAAGATTACCAAAAACATATGTTGTGGGTAGAAAACAGGACTATCCCAAGGAAAACCTACTTTCATTAATTAGGCTGTCTTCAGAGTCTTATCACTCATAAAAACATAGATGAATGAACTGTTCGATTGGTGACTCTAAAAGTGTTTATTACTTGTTTCAGAGTTGTTTACAGCAGGCTTAAGCTTACACTTAAACCACCAGTTTAGGTCTACATTGGGAAACTTCTAGATTTGCATTGTGGTCATAAACCAGACTTGTGGGTATATGGGATTATGTCTATTTGTATAGGGTACTTGTTTTGGTCTGAATTCAACATTTGGAATTGGAAGATTTCTCAATAGAAGTGAATATTATTTTCTTCTCTGGATAGTGTTTGTGTTTGTTTCTCTTTCATTTTTTTCTTCCCTCTGGCTAGTCTTTGTGTTTGTTGTTCTGTCATTCTTTTCTTCTACTGGCTAGTTTGTGTTTACTGGTCTGTAATTCTTTTCTTCCCTTTAGCTATACTTGTAGATCATAGTATGATGGCATGGTCTTATATTTTGGTCCTGGAAATTATAATGTATGTGGTCATAAAAACTGCTTGAAAACACTTTATTTTCTTTGGAAAAATAGTATAAGAACCCTGAGTTGACTGTTAAAGTAAGTTACCTGATCCATGTAGATATCTCCAGTGTTCTGACAGCACACCAGTACTGTGTAGACTTTTCAATAAACCTCACCCCACTTCATGAAGCTCCCAGAGCTCCTGAAGCATTAATCGATCCACTAATGGAATCTTTTACTGTAAAGCTTGTCCTACTTTATGAAGCTCCCAGAGCTCCTGAAGCGTTAATCGATCCACTGACGGAATCTTCTACTGTATAGCTTTTCCCACTTCATGAAGCTCCCAGAGTTCCTGAAGTGTTAATCAATCCATTGACAGAATCTTGTACTGTATAGCTTGTCCCACTTCATGAAGCTCCAAGAGCTCCTGAAGTATTAATCGATCCACTGACGGAATCTTTTACTGTATAGCTTGTTCCACTTCATGAAGCTCCCAGAGTTCCTGAAGTGTTAATCAATCCACTGATGGAATCTTCTACTGTATAGCTTTTCCCACTTCATGAAGCTCCTAGATTCCTGAAGTGTTAATCGATCCACTGATGGAATCTTCTACTGTATAGCTTGCCCCACTTCATGAAGCTCCAAGAGCTCCTGAAGTGTTAAAATGATCCACTGATGGCAAAAATGATATTAACTTCCATGTGGTGGCCAGGATTATGACATTCAGTGAACATACAAGGTCTCACTATTCAGTTAGACAATCTATCTGTATTTTGGTGTTGCAGGCTTGGGTAATAATATACGATAAAATTATACTCCTGGAGTATTGTTATCTAACACAATATCATTCATTTAGGGGTTTTAAACTTCAACCTGATTTTATTAAGAAACACTTCTTTTAACTTTAATCTGTTTTGTATTTTCAGAAACTGCATATTTTGAATAATGCTTGTAGTGATTTGTTACATCAAAAAAACCAAATGATTTCAGAACTTCAAGATGTAAGTATATAAAATTAATGAATTCCTTGTTAAAACATTATTACTTTATTAATATTTGTATTGTTAGAAGCTACATTTTTAATGTTATAATTTGTTTATTAGCTAGAGAGAGATGCTGGTGGTAACAATGATATAATGATTCCAAGTCTTTGTTAAACATACAGAAAAAGAATTAGTTATAAGTACAGAATCAACTAGCTAGTGGGACACTGAATGAGTATTGAGTCAGTCAGTGGTGTATTTAGTGAAGTCTTTGGATCAGTGATAGTAATCACATATTTCCAGATATATAAACTATTTTCTATGAAACTGTATAAGTTTATTTTTACACTAGTCCTAGTGACATTAGTGAAGTATTTCTATATGAGCATCATTTGTAGGCTTACAAGTTATAACAAGTATACAAACTAGTAGAAATGTTAAGGAAAACATAAACTAATTTGTTATTGTTATGTAGACTGGTCTTTAAATTACTTCACAAAATAACTTAAAAAGAACCTGGCTAACAAAAGAATGCCATTACAACAGTGTTCTTTAATATCTATCTTACTTTTGTGCAAATGAAGGAAAATGAATTAATAGTAAGACAGCAGTGAATGAAGGAAAGTGAATTAATAGTAAGACACCAGTTAATTAATAGTGACTAAAGGTGATGGAAACCAACAGTTTGATAATTATTATAAGTGAAATAACCTTGTGAAAATGATGAAAGAAGGAGAATATATTAACATTTTCATAACAGTTAAGAAATAGAGGGAAGCTAAAACAATTAAAATAATTAACCATATAAAAGTAAAATAGTAATTATAGGTGATAAATAAGTAAAGTTATTGATAATATAGTAATTAGAGAAACATAGGAAATTTTTACTTAGAGAATAATTTAAAAGAAAGGACTGGATTATTGATTAGATATTGATTAAAGAGAGCAAGGGAATTAACAGGGAGATAATGTTTATAGGATATATATATATATATTAATAGGAGGTTAGATTAAAGATAGCAAGGGAATTGACAGGGAGATAATGTTTGTAGGTTATATATATGTATTTATAGGAGCTTAGATTAAAGAGAGCAAGGGAATTAACAGGGAGATAATGTTTATAGGATATATATATATATAATAAGAGCTTAGATTAAAGAGAGCAAGGGATTAACAGGGAGATAATGTTTATAGGTTATATATATGTATTAATAGGAGCTTAGATTAAAGAGAGCAAGGAATTAACAGGGAGATAATGTTTGTAGTGTTGTATATATATTAATATAA